CCACCAACAAATGTAACACTACCTCGTAGCCACCAACAAATGTAACACTACCTCATAGCCACCAACAAACGTATCTCCACTTCTTACTTACCAACAGACATAACCTCACCTCATACTTACTAGTAAACATAACACTACCTCTTACTTACCAACAAACATTACTCCACCTCTTACTTACCAACAAATGTAACCCCACCTCTTACTTACTAACAAATGTAACACTACCTCATAGCCACCCATAAACATAACCCCTCTTCTTACTTACCAACAGACATAACCTCACCTCTTACTTATTAATAAACATAACACTACCTCTTACTTACCAACAAATGTAACACTAACTCATAGCCACCAACAAATGTAACCCCATTTCTTGCTTACCAGTAAATTAACACTACCTCATACCCCCCAACAAATGTAACACTACTTCATAGCCACAAACAATAATAACACCATCTCTTTGTTCTCCTGAAGAAAAATAGTGAACTATTTGAAATTGCTCGAGTTTTGGGTCTTATTTTAAGTTTATTACACTTTATATGTGATCCTTTGTGCTAACTCTATTATCAAGATCTTTTAGGCAGAATTATACACTGACTTTTCTCTACTTTAAAATACTTTTATTTTCAAGCTTTTGGCTCTCTTATCAGAGCCGTCGTCAGGCAACAATGTACTGAATGATAAAATTCGTTTAACTTTGGAACAATAGATTATCTAGGCAATATGCTTCTTAAAAAACAACCACCTATTAGTTCCCAATAAAAATAACCACCTCATAGGTATTAACAAAAATAACACCACCTAATAGTTACTAACAAACATAACATTGCTTCATAGTTACTAACAAAAATAACACCGCCTCATAGATACTAACAAACGTAACACTGCTTCATAGTTACCAACAAAAATAACACCACCTCATAGTTACTAACAAACATAACATTGCTTCATAGTTACTAACAAAAATAACACCATCTCATAGATACTAACAAACGTAACACTGCTTCATAGTTACCAACAAAAATAACACCACCTCATAGTTACTAACAAACATAACATTGCTTCATAGTTACTAACAAAAATAACACAACCTCATAGATACTAACAAACGTGACACTGCTTCATAGTTACCAACAAAAATAACACCACCTCATAGTTACTAACAAACATAACATTGCTTCATAGTTACCAACAAATGTAACACCATCTCATACGCACTCTAAAATGTAACAGCACCTCATAGCCACAACAAACATAACAACACCTTAGTTATGGCTTTTTCTTGGTTGCAAATCCTGGATTTGCATTGAAGATGGTGTGGCGTGTGTTATAATGGTTCTTTTTTAAAGAAACCTAGAACACTTAGAAAGTTTTTCATGAAAGTTAACATGTACATATACTAATAATAAATGGTGTGTCACAACACAGGGACGATCCTTCACATTAGTTAACACATGTACTAGTAGTACATGGGGTGTCGCAGTACTGGGACAGTCCTTCACATTAGTTAACACGTGTAATAGTAATACATGGTGTGTACACAAACAAATTGTCCTTCACATTAGTTAACTCAGCACGGGCTCAGTTCCTGGGACCGACCTCGTAAGCACTTTTTGCTTGTTTTAGTTTTCATTCAATAACTTTTAAATTAATAAGCGTATGTTAAAATTTGGCAGATTATCAGTAAACATTACAATGCTTTCACATGCAAAATATCACATTTTTTTTCATTAAGGCTTAAGGTTTGTAAAGTAATGTTTTTCTTGTGCCTTATTTTTTTCTTTTTGCATGTTGCCTATCCATTATGCAAAGTAATTTTCGTTTTAAAATTAAAAATACTTTTGTGCATCAGAAAATTTTCAAATTTCACATGCTAAATTTTTATAATGTCTAGATAGTTATTAAATATTTGTTAAGAAAAACTTTATATTTTATTTGTTATTTTCACTAACAGATGTTTGTATGGGTTTGGTTGATTTGACCAATTTTGTAACCACTATTAAAAAAGGAAATGAATATAAATTATGCCCTTTTCGTTCTAGAATGACAAAAATTATAACATGAAAACATAAATCTTTAGACTAAATAGCTTAAATCTCATAATATTATACATTTTATATATATTTATTATATTGACTTTTCAGCCATGCCTGGCTAACAATACACAAGTTACAATGATGTGAGACATGTGCACTCATGTTACCGCATCCAATAATATAAAACTGACCTTTAGTCTTTACAAAGTGACCTGTCTTGGCTGTATACTATTTATGAATAAGTTCTTAAGTTTATTTTTCTTAAAACACAGAACAGTGAATAAAGAAGTAAAGCAAACAATTATCTCTTCTAGTTACGACCTTTGTATTCAGTTGCTGCTTAATGTAGGTTGCTAAGCCTATTAAAATTTTGCACGTGGAAGATATGAAACAAAATAATTTTTTTAGGTTTTATATATATACTTTTGGATGACTAAAAAATCATAAATTACTATATCAATACCATAAAATTCCACTATAATTTATTAAGCTTAGTAATTAAACTTTATTTCAGTCTAAAAAAAATATGAAATTTTGAACAGACTAGAGACACAACCTACCTCCTTGAAAACTTGATTCAAAAGAAAGAAATGATGTCCAGCCATGTTAAATGGCTGAGAAAGCCACTGGGGGGCATTCTGAGCTTCTGATTGGTTATTCTTGTCATATATAGAAGTAAGTGTATATAAGGGAGCATTTCCAAAAATGGAAAGAGGTGGGTGGGGTGCCACTGTGTTTGATTTTTTAATGAGCAATATCTTAGCAAACAGAAAACATAAGAGGCTCTTATTTTATATTCTAGCTTGTCAATATCGGTAAATTGAATTCCTCTTTTGTACAAAACTATAGACTTAGTATTTTCACTTCACAAACACCTAATTTGAACTAGTGTTGCATTCGACATACCACATGATACACAAAAATCAATGTTTAACTGTTTTGTTTTCATATTTACTTTTAAATTAAATAAGGTATAATACTAAAATTTGTATTATAATTTACAGTTTGATACCAAATTTATTGATATAAATTCATGAAATAGTAGTTCAATAAAATTTGAATGTGAGTCAACAAACACGATGACATGGCCTTTAGCCTTTGATCCATCCGGAAAGGGTTAACCCATGTACTAGTCACACACAGTTTGTCACAGTACTGAGACAGTCCTTCACATTAGTTAACACATCTATTAGTCTGTTAATGAGCTGTAGTAAGCCTTGTTTTGTCCTCAGTTAGTTATTCGTGACAAAATTAACAGTTGTTGAAGCTGTTGTTCTCGATTATTATCAGTGATACAATTTGTTTGTAAAACTTGCTAATAAATAAAATAAATTTTGTTTTTGTCATATAAACACCTCTTTAATCTTTAGTAATTGAGAAAAGTATATAAAAGTTGTTATGACATAAAAGTTCTTGATTAATTATTTAATTTATGACTAATTATATATCACAGATATCTAGAAGTACTGACAAATTCTAACAACATATAGTCAGTTTTTAACTGTCTTTCTGCTCATACTATACCTCCTCAAAACTTTGAATTCTATATCAGAAAAAATTAATGTTCACATAAGAAGAATGTGTGGTTGTTGAAGGAGTGAATTGTATAAATGTAATTTCGAGTTCAGTTGTCTGTGGCTTCTTGGAAGAACAAAAATTTGAAGATGATGTTCATATTATGATTTTTTTAATTAATATAACTTAGAAGCTGTTCCCCATCTTTTATGTAAACCGAAATTAATTAGGAATTTTTTTTATTGAAAGAGTAAACTTCTTACAGAAACCCGATGGCCTGATGTTTCCTGATAGAGCTACATTATTTATTACTGGTATTGAAGATAGGCAGTACAAAGATGAGAAGATTAACTGTAAGAATCTTTAGCTCTTATCTTGAGTTAAGTTTTCCTTCACCTTTATATGGGTATTGAAATGATGTTTCATGTGTGTTTTTTTGAGATTGTTAAATAAAATGTTCTAAAAATAACAACTTGGAAAAATCAACATATTACAAATTTAATTGCAGGTTGAAATTAGGCCACTTATATAAGTTTTTTATTAAATGAATTTAAAAATAGTTGCTTTCTAAACATGATATTCAGTTACTGCATAAATATTATGTGGTTATAGTGTTCAGTCTTTTGTACATAGTTACTCACCATCACATATGAGTGGTTAATATTTTTTTGTTTTACAATGTAATGGTTATTTTATCTAAACTTGCAGTTTTGTGGTAATTTTAAGATGGCATAAAATAAAGCTAGTTGTAAGTAGACACAAATCTAAAATGTTACCCATTTCAATTACGTTTATGATTTACTCTTAAAATGATAAATCTCTTTAAGTAATACATTATTTTGTAAGAGAGACAAACTAAAGAAATGCCCATAGAAAATGCTTTGAGGCTTAGTTCACATATAATTTCATAGATGGCAGCCAGCTTGAAATTTTCAGGTTGTCGATTACAATAATGTTCACTGAATGTTTTCACTTATAAAGAGTTCTACACTTCTACCTGGTATTATTTCAGGGATAAATAACATATTATTTTATGTTTTCATATAATTTTCTATGCATTCATAATTACATGATTAGATCAATATGAAATGATATTGATTTAAAATAATGTCTTGTAATGATTATCTGGTGCATAAGATGAATCACAGCTTTGTCATTATATGTACAGGTACAAGTGTTATTCTTGCCAATGTTTTTATGTAGGGATGATGCAAATGCCATCCCTACATTTACTTCCTTTTTTGAAAAGTTTTTCTCTAATTGTTAGCTATGTTCTTGTGCACCAGAATCAATACAAATGGGATAGTACTCTATATAGGCTTCACCTTTACACTGGATCATAGACTAATGGCAATATAACATATTCATGCATTGGTGCCATCTATTGATGTAAATCAGTAATAGTTAGCTCAGAAGGAAAACCTTAACTCTTACTTTCTCCTCACTATGTGTAGATGAAAGTTTTAAGTTTTTATCTCTAGAAAGAGTCATAAGTATCAGAGTATGTTTATTCCAGGTTAATGTAATGATGGTGTTCCTTCACTCACCATTAAACCGGGTTACAATGTAATGATGGTGTTCCTTCACTCACCATTAAACCAGGTTAATGTAATGATGGTGTTCCTTCACTCACCATTAAACCAGGTTAACGTAATGATGGTGTTTCTTCACTCACCATTAAACCAGGTTAATACAATGATGGTGTTCCTTCACTCACCAAACTGATTGTATGTTTATAGAAATAAAGTTTTTTGTGTTTGGTGTTTTGAGATGTCTTTTACTGTGTGAGTAAAAGGTGTCAAAACACCATATGTATAATATACACTCCAACACTGTAGAGCCTTTTTGTTTGATATGACACCAGCAGAACTATAGTTAATGCTACAGAGAAATGTATTATATCCCAAATGAGAGAGATACATAGACTTTATCAATGAAAGCCAGCATTTGTTTTATGGACTGTTGTTGAATTAAAAAGTAATAACATTATTGTTCATGCAGCTTGTTTACAGAAGTTTTAAAACAGTACTGTGGTTAATTACTGTGTGTTTAATATGTCAACATTTCTTCATTTGTCAGGGTGGGATAATGTATATGGCTTCAACATGTCATGCATCAGGAAAGTAGCTATTTCAGAACCACTTGTGGATGTTGTTGATCCAAAACAGGTCGTCACCAATGCCTGTCTATTAAAGGTGAGTTGGTCTTTTATGTCAATTTGTTTATATAAACAAATTAATTTTTATTGTAAAAATTTGAAATATAATATCATATGAGATCTAATACATCATTGTGTTTGATAGGAAATATACTTTTTTAACTAACATTGAAAATTCTGAGATAATTTGATGATTGTTTTTTTTTTCAATAAAGTGTATTTAATGTGATGTGTTAAGAACAACATAAATATTTTAATTGAATGAATATTTAACAATACCTAAATTCTAATGTTTTAGATTGCTAGGTAAGTTCAACTCAATATTTATTTTTTTATCAAAGTGTATATTACAAAATTTAAAAGGTAATTTTAAATTATTGTTAATGGTTTAAAGTCAATATTCTCACATCTTCGTGCTTAGATAAAAGGCTATAAAACATTTTATTTAAGGTATTATAAACCGAAGAATATTGAAAAGTGGTCTAATATTGTTACAGTAGTTTAGTTTTTTTTTTATACATAACTATTTTCTAGCATCCACTCTGTGTGCCATAGAATTGCTAAATTTATGCTTTTGTAAAAAAACTTTTTCAGGAAGTAGACCTCTACAATATCAAAGTAGAAGATTTGGTTTTCCAGTCACCTTTCCATTTGCAAGTTCGTCGTGATGATTATATTCAAGCCTTTGTTACATTTTTTAATTTAGAGTTTACAAAATGTCACAAACGAACAGGCTTCTCTACAGGTATTTAACGTTTATTAAATTTTCCAAATATTAGTGTTATTGAACATATTGTTGAAATGCAAAGCTTTGAAAACCAACAGAGATGCTACAGAAAAAAGTAAGGATGTGTTTCCTTTAAAATATAAGTTCACTGGTATAATAACCATAGCATGTTGTTTATCTAGTTAGTGTAAGATTTATGTCAGACAGACATACATCCTATGATATTTGTTGTGACTAGTATTTTTGGAAGTCACTTGATCACATGTATCTAAAGACATATATAACCACATTTCTGGAAGACATCATGTATTTGTTCGTACAGCATGTTCTGAAATACATGTGACCACATGTATACACACAGATATATTTCTGGAAGACATCTGATCTTGTGTATATAAATACATATATATATATACACACAGTATATTTCTGGAAAGCATTGATCACATGTATACACACAGATATATTTTTGGAAGACATCTGATCTTGTGTATATATATATATATATATATATATATATATACACACACAGATATATTTCTGGAAGACATCTGATCTTGTATATATAAATACATATATATATATACACACACAGTATATTTCTGGAAGACATTTGAACATGGAATCTCAAACAGCATGTTTCAAGGCTTAAGTAACATGCTTTATGGTGTTATGTTTGAATCGAAAAATGTACGTAGATTGTGTACGTTTAGAGGATACTGCCATTTATTACACAAAGACTTGCCTGAAGCTACACAAATGTGTGTTTGAAATTAAACGTACTGCTGGAAAGTTTTATTAGGACATTAGAAATGTCAATAATGCTAGATATGTGACGTACTGCTGTAAATTTTATTAGGACATTAGAAATGTCAATAATGCTAGATATGTGACGTACTGCTGTAAAGTTTTATTAGGACATTAGAAATGTCAATAATGCTAGATATGTGACATACTGCTGTAAAGTTTTATTAGGACATTAGAAATGTCAATAATGCTAGATATGTGACGTACTGCTGGAAAGTTTTATTAGGACATTAGAAATCTCATTAATGCTAGATATGTGGGGCATTTTTAATAAATGATTATTGTTTGTGTGAATATTTAGCAGTTAAACATTTAATTAATATTGTAATTTACAGTTTTAAATGTTTTTTGAGGATTTCATTAAGATAAAAATTTTCTGTAATTCTTCCAGTTACATAGTTATATAAAAATCAACATCTATGTATACATTGTACAATAGGCATTAAACTACTGATGTTTTATAAATGTTTTATTTAGTGTCATACTCACTAGCAGAAACATCACCCTATGGGCAGCTGTTTGTGGAACTAATTACTTATTGTAGTATTCATATCTAATTGAAAAACATTTAGAAAAAGGATATTTCTGGGAAGTACTGCATGGGAAGAGTGTTCAGATTGTATTGTAATGTTTTTATATATTAAAAGTGGTACCCTTTATTGAAAAAATAAGTTTTTTTAAGAACTCATTTCAGTAGTACTAATATTTACAAATTACATCAATAAAGATGTAATCAAACCCTCATGTACAGTCCTAGTGAAAGTCGTGTTCTTGTTGTGAAGAGAGTACTTATAGTAAGAAGATTATCTTTGCTTGGTGAGCATGTTTCATTGGTTAAGTAGTTCTGTTACATGAAAGCAGAGTCTTCCCAGGGTTTCAGGTGATACTACATTGTTATACAGACATGTTTAATATCTTATTACCCTTTTTTAATGTAAACAGTGATTTTCAACATGTATCTTACACAACTTTGTTTTCCCAGCACCAGAAGCTCCTCACACCCACTGGAAGCAGACAGTTTTCTACTTTGATGATTATCTTACAGTGAAAAAAGGAGAAGAGGTTTATGGAGTGTTCAGTATGAAACCTAATCCCAAAAACAAGGTTAGTACAGGGTGTTCAGCATGAAACCTAATCCCAAAAACAAGGTTAGTACAGGGTGTTCAGCATGAAACCTAATCCCAAAAACAAGGTTAGTAAAGGGTGTTCAGCATGAAACCTAATCCAAAAAACAAGGTTAGAATCAGCACTGAATGAAAACAAGGTTAGTATAAAGTATGTGATGCAATCAGCACTGAATGAAAACAAGGTTAGTACACTTGATTAAGGCTATAGTTACTGTGTAGATAATATTTAAACTGTATAAAACCATCAGCTTATAAAACAGAGATTTTAAATCTTGATAAAGTGTAAGACTTAAATTTAGAATTTCTTTTTAATCCATCTAGTGTATTGAATTTAATACAGTTTAATGTAATTAATTCTGTTTTGGTTAGATAGGGGGGACCAAAGTTTATAATTATTTAACAAACCTATATTCTTTATAAATCAAAGCATGTAAAATAATGAAGGTGACTAGGTTATAACAATAGTAACTATAATTTTAACTGCAGTGGCTTTTGGAAGAAGACTACATAAGAACCCTTAAGCTGTGGTGTTCAGTGATAGGTTTAATTGATACTTTTATTCATTTATTATACTGGGACATATTAAAGCAATGCTACAAAAAGTAAAGTTAAAGATAACTTGAGTGGATAGTGAAAGAAACTTTATTACAAATTTCAATAAGCTTGTGTCGTCATTATTATGTTACAAAATATTTGTTCTAACTGTCACATCTTGTAAGATCTAGATTCTGCATGGAATGCTTACAACTTTGGTTTAATACTGTACGAGTTACTGTTTTTAGATTATATAAAAATACCTGAAAGTATACTTGTGAGTTAAGGCTTAAGTGTTGCTGACTACCTACGTAAATAAGAACTATAACTGAACCTAGTAATGTGCATAACTAAATAAATATATTCAAACTATATTACTTATAATGATTAGAATCAGTTGCATACAATTGTTCTTAATTCAATTTTTGGCCATAAACCTAATAATATCTTGAGTTTGTTTAGTCCATGAGGCTTAGGTTAGTCCTAAATCCATATACTAAACTAACAATGCAGAATAGTCGTTATAATAAAATGTTAAACATAAAGTTATGTTAGAAATAGTGAAAAATGAAACTACATACTTATTAAATATCCTAACTAACACTGTGCATCCACACTTTGGCTTGACTTGTTTAGGCCAATGTCCATTTAAGAACTACCACACCACGATAGAAGTTATAGTTGGCTTGGTCAACTTAGTAGATTTAGGTTAGTACTAAATCTATAAACTAAACTAACAATGTGAAATACTTTTAGATAAGAACCAACACTGTTGATAAAAGTAACCATAAAGAAAGGATAGGATGTATCAAACTTACTATCTCTACTGTTACCTTTTTTTAGTTTATTACTTTTGTTAAGATGATGCAATGTTTCCTTACCTGCCATGATGTTTTTACTTATTTATAGCGTGATCTGGACTTCAGTATTGATGTGGACTTTAAGGGTGATCTGTCAGAGCTAGGAGAAAGTTTTACATATCGAATGCGTTGATACCGCCTACTTTGTATTACAGCAGTTTTTATTCAACATCACAGTGCTTCCCTTCCTGCTTTCAGTGTAATTGTACAGTCTGTAACTGTTGTATCAGACTTATATGAGCATCCTTATCAATGTTGTACTTTCATTTGGAAAACAGAATTGATTAAATTGTCCTAATTGTAACTGTTGGTTGTTTTTAGTAATTCAGAATGTTTTTGTTTTTTTGCCACAATTGTAGCAGAAACCACTTATAGGTTCTGTATGAAATATTTTGACAGAAGTTTAATTATAAAAGCTCAGAATTTCAAAACATATTTAATGAAACAAATCGCAAATTGTCCATACTCAAGTTTCTAGCTGTTTCTAAATGTCTGTAAAAAGATTTTTTTTAAACTCGTGCTGCTGTCTTTGATACCTTTTCATGCTAAGTGACTGTTAGTTTAACAAAGTTGATTATATAACAGGCTTTGTTTTATAATATATGGAATTTCAAAATATACATCTTAGTATAACTGTTTTAATATTATCTTTGAGATTGTGATGAGGTTTGGCTTGTTAATTTTCAAATAAATTATTAATAATTGTTTAGATGAACAAAAAGTTCAATGCAGTACATTTGATAACTTCGTTTTTAAAGCATATGATTCCAGTTGTTCACCATCAGGTGCCTGATTTTTGACCCACGTCAGTTTACTGATGCATCATAGGAATGTCTATTTTCTAACCCATTTATTATAACTGACATCAATGTACAGTTTAAAAATATATAATTCAACAAATGGTTCCACTCCCAAAATATTAAAAAAAAATTAGTTATTCATTGTCTCATATAAGCTTGTATTTTTCTGTTTAGCATTTTTGATTCTTGCAGTCACTTGTAATTCAAGCCACAATTAGACGATATGGCTAACTCTCGGAGAAGTAGACCAGTAGATAAATGCTATCACTCAGTGCATAACATTAAAAATGAACTAAAAGATCCCACAATTAGACGATATGGCTAACTCTCGGGGAAGTAGACCAGTAGGTAAATGCTGTCACTCAGTGCATAACATTAAAAATGAACTAAATGATCCCACAATTAGACGATGGCTAACTCTCGGGGAAGTAGACCAGTAGGTAAATGCTGTCACTCAGTGCATAACATTAAAAATGAACTAAATGATCCCACAATTAGACGATATGGCTAACTCTCGGGGAAGTAGACCAGTAGGTAAATGCTATCACTCAGTGCATAACATTAAAGATGAACAAAATGATGTTTAATGTGTTAATATCATTATGAAGAACTGAAACACGAATTATTGTAGTTATTGTTTTACAAGATTTAACTTACATTTTAAACATTAAACAAATAGATTAATGAAAACTCTCGAGAATAACTACAGAAAAAAAAATATATATATTGTACTTAAAATATAGTAAATCTGCTCAATGTTTGAGAAGGTTTGATTTGGGTGCTAACCATATTCCTGGATGTATTTCAGAAGTTTTAAGTTGTGAAGAGTTAGTATTTTGTGTGTTTAAAGTATTAGTTATTTAAAAATGTAGTAATAAATTTTTTTGGTATTCATTACACTGTAAAAAACAAAATCAGGTGCTGTAACTTTGTAGTATTTATTGTTATCCGTGTATACAGCTATTCAACTTCCATATATATTCTGTGGTTGGTGTCATATTTCATTTAACTGAAAACTTTCACAACACTGGCCAGATTTATAGAAAATGGGAATGTTTAATTGAGCAACTTTTCATGTTACTAACTAAATTTTACAGTAACACAGTCCAGTTTTAAGAAGTTTAAACATTCAACCTGGCAACTGTTCTTACTACTAAGTTTTACAGTAACACAGGCCACTTTTATAAAGTGTAAACATTCAACCTGGCAACTGTTCTTAGTACTAAGTTTTACAGTAACACAGGCCACTTTTATGAAGTGTAAACATTCAACCTGGCAAAAAAACTGGTCTGTGTTACTGTAAAACTTAATATAAAGAACAGTTGCCAGGTTGAATGTTTACACTTCATAAAAGTGGCCTGTGTTACTGTAAAACTTAGTACTAAGAACAAAGGAATGTAAACATTCAACCTGGCAACTGCTCCTAGTACTAAGTTTTATTGTTCTGACAATTTTTCAAGCCAGGAGCTTTCCAATTTATTAAGATTATATTTTTTCAAAATATCATTTCCTTATTATTTTCCTAATTGAAAGAGAAATTAAAAGCAAACATTTTTATAAACTATGAGAAAATAGAATGATGAAATAGATTGTCAACTGAAAGCAGACCGTGTTCTTTGTAACACAAAGTGAAGAAGATGATATGTTTCAGAAATGCAACTTCCAGTTCCCCGAGTATTAGAAATTGTGTATTTTTGCTGAAATGGGTAAGAATATTTCAAAATGTTGGGTATACAGCTTTCTAAGCAAGTGATATAAGATCTGGAGAAGTATATATTCTTATTTTATGTGTAATATTTGTAGATATGAAAGTATGCATATGGCCTCATCTTAAAGCAGCTTGCGAACAACCTAAGTTTTCCAAAAGCTAAGTAAGATGACATTATAGTTTTATGGCCTTAACAAGCTATGCATAATTTAACACTACAGTGCTTCTTTCTAGAGATGTTCTATGCATATATGTGTACTTAAATGTGGTGATATTGGGATGGCTTTACAACATTGCTGTTTGCAGAATAAAATAGGCTGTCATCTATTACTTCAATGATTTTAAAGTTGCATTCCATTATGAAACACTTGATGAAAGTTAACATAAAAGAAATACCAACACTTATTTGTCGTCATTCGTTAGAAATTACAGTTTTTAAAAATGTCTGTTTCAAAGCCATTATCTAACTGATGTAACAGTATAATACAGATGCATTTCATAAAAAACAATATTTGTAATACAGTTTTAACAGTGTTGTGTATTTTATAATAATAAATTGAACATACTTAATTTTTGGAAAAGTATGTTACTTGATCTTTAAAAAACATTTAAATATTGATGAAGCTAAATGATTTCCTTCACATTTTCTAATTACTCTCTCATTTTTTAGCTGTTTTAAATAATGTATTTCCTTAAAAAGAGAATTAAATAGCACAATAAGAATTAAGTTTCATAAACTAGAAAAAGAAGAATAAACTACCTTTTCAATAGGTATTTCATTTCAGCGATTTTATCAAAAATAAATACATTTTGTGTTACCAAACTTTGTCAGTGTTGTTCATGTTAATTAATATTACATCTATTGTATGTACTAGTCTCTTTTTAATTAAACGAATAAACAGAGGTGTGCTACTTTTAACAACATTTTTAACAACTACTTGAGGTTGGCCTAACTTAACTCAGTGGTTAGGGAGTTTGATTGGCAATCTCCTCCGTGCAAGATTGAAATCCATCACTGAACATGCTCTTTCAGACGTGGGGGTGTTATATGGTGATGGTCAATCCCATTAATCATTGGTTTAGAGAAGCTGAAGAATTTGAGGTGGGTGGTATGATCCCAGTATTCATTGACATAGAATAGCTGATGAGTTTGAGGTGAGTGGTATTGATTGGTCGTTTTTTTTCCCTCTAGTTTATCATTTCAAAATTAGAGACCGTTAACTAAGATATCCCATGAGTAATTTTACCAGAAATTCAAGAACAAAATAAGGCAAACAGTTAATACAGTTGAGGTGTGTTGTATTAATAGTGATTTAATTGCTTTTCTCCCTCTCAAGTGGGTAGACGTCCCATATAAAATCTGTCTTCAGCCATATGTATATAGTAATGTCAGAAATTTATATGTCTTAACAACTTTTTACACCTCGTATGTTGTAAGCTGTATTTTAGTTTTATTTAGATGTTTGCATTGTTTTTAACTTCATATGATAAGTGAATGACAAATAATGACTAGAACTTCATTAAAAGTGTAGGAAAAGATTTGAACACTAGTTACCTCTGCGACTGAAGGTGGAGAGAGAGGTAATATTCCCATTGTGTGTGTGTTAAGGTGGAGAGAGAGGTAATGTTCCCCTTGTGTGTGTGTTAAGGTGGAGAGAGAGAGGCAATGTTCCCCTTGTGTGTGTGTTAAGGTGGAGAGAGAGAGAGGCAATGTTCCCCTTGTGTGTGTGTGTTTGTCAGCAAGATATCTCGAAAAAAGTTGGTATATATTTGGACTATGACTCAACTTAGAAGTGATTAGTTTTTGGAGAGTCAAGGTCACGAAAATCCAAAAAATTCTTATCTGTTAACATGGAGACTGATTTTCCCTCTATTTTTGCTCTATAACTCAGTCAAAAAATGATCAGATTTTGATAGAACCTGATGGACATATATAGAATGTTATTCCTCATTGTCCTACCAACAATATTTCGTGTTCGTTGATAATTTCGGACATATGGACAGATTTTCATATTTTTTGAGAGCCAAATATGATCAACACTGCGTGGCAGGGGTATGCACTCTACTGAGTGCCCCAATAATTAATGCAGAGTTATTGTTGACTGATTATGGAGTCAGCCAGTTATTTCAGCACTGAAAATTAGATTTTTTTTCAACGAAGTATTAGAGATGCGTGAAGTACTGTACAAACAAGAGAATTAGTAAGTGGAATCTCTGTTGAGGTATTATTTATTTGTGAAGTTATGCCTGTTATTAGTTATGTGGAACTTGTACAGGTTGTCCTTGTAAGATTTGTAGCAAGAGAAATAAAATGCTTTTGTTCCTGTTAAGTTTGTGTTTTTACACTTATTGGAGAATCTAGTAAAAAAACTATCCAATAAGAGAAATGGTGTCAGGAGTGAGATTATTTTGGAGAAAATGAAATTCAGTCTGAACTCAAAATGATGAAGCAAGATCAAAAATTTGCTGAAAGTGATAAAACAGTGGAAAGATTTGGTATTTTCAATTTTTTGCAAAGCTACTCAAGGGTATTTGTGTTATCTGTACTCAATTTAGCAGTGATAGGCTAGAGAGAAGGCGGTAGTCAATACCACTCACCACCAACTCTTGGACTTCTTTTTTTTGTGATGAATAATTGGATTGACTGTCACAGGGCAGCAGTGATATAGAAGATAACATGAAAGCACTATAAACATAGATGCTGTAATGGGTGAGGATATGCCAATTGGGCAAAAGAAACTATATCTTCAAAGGGAACTGCCATTTGACAGTGGAACTTGAATAAATTAAAGTTACAGATAACTACAAGAAACATTCATGAATTACTGAATCATCAGGTTAAATAATGTGGAAACATTAATCTTCTTCTGTTAGAAATTTTCAAAACTTGAAGTTAGTCACAATGGAAGATGTAAACCACAGGATTATAGGTGTTTCAACTGCAGTTTAAAAGAATATGCTGCCATGATTAATTGTTACTATTGTAGTGCTAGAAGTATTTGAAGTATGATTGATGAGTTCAAAGCAGTTGTGGAAACTGAGGATTTTGATATTATGGATATCACTGAGACTTGGTTGGATTTGAATAATTTTGATGAGAGAAATGTTTTGAAGTACCAGGCCACAGGTTATTTATTAGAGATAGAGTATTGAAAAAAGGGGGGAGGAGTGACTTTATATGTGAGAATTAAATTGCATCCTGTGCAGTTAGAGCATATTAATAGCACTGGGGTTGAGTCAGTTTGGATTGGTATTAATATAAAGGGAAAAGTCTTGTAATTGGGATTTGTTATAGACCACCAGATCAGGATGGTAGCTGAAAAGATATTGTTATTATGGGAGATTTTATTTTCAGGGGTACTGATTGGGAAAATTTTGAGCCTGACAGTGAGGATGATAGATTTTTGGAAATTATTCAGGATACTTTTTATACACCAAGAGAGGAAGGTATATTAGATTTAATATTAGCATCTGATGTGAATATGATAGACATAGTTGTGGTTGGTGAGCATTTAAGTACAAGCAACCATTGAACTATTAAGTTTGAAGTTTTACTACATGTAGAATTGAAGAAGAATAGTACTCTGATACCAAATTTCAGGAAAGCCAATTTTGATGGAATGAGAAGTGATCTGGCTTCTGTAGATTGGACTAAAGAGTTGGGAGGGGATCTTGACC